CACTCAGTCCTCTTTTCACAGAATGTGGGGGGCAGGAAAGCTCCAGACTTTATGCAGGAGAACTTGGAGGTCCAGCCTTCCCTCCCCAGCCCCTCCTGGCTTGATCAATTCATGCCCTGCTCTCAAATCCCATGACTTGGCTGCAGGACCACCTCCCTCCTGACCCTTTTATTTCTTTCTTAATTTCTGCCACCTGGAGATTTTACTGCCTTCCCTTAAACCTTGGGTGAATTTCTTTCTCTTTGTTCCTTTTTTATGCAGCACTTCTATGCATCCTTAATGCATAGAATGCCTGTTTACTTTAGCTGAGGCTGTCATATGCTGGAAATTTTCATTTGTTCCATATACACAGTTATTCTCCATTTCAGTCTGCTTCTCATTCTTGTCCTTGCCAGTACCTGCTAAAGCTGAGTCTCAACCCTGCTGACCTTCTTCTGGGGAGACCAGCCCCCTCCCCTCACACATTTTATGGAATTTGGCTTTTCCCATTGTTTTTTTTATCAGTACTCTTCCTTCCACTTTGCATTTAAGGAATGTGCCCAAATCTTTCTGCTAATGCCCCATGCGTGTTCTTTTCACTGTTACAGTTTTAAATCTTTTTATCCTTTACTCTCAGTTTCATGAGGTGTCCGGAGTTTGTAGAGAACAATGCCTTTACTGAGCTTACTGTCTTGAATGGAAGAACTCGCTGAGTGCTCGGGGGCCGCTGTGCAGTTCTGGTGTTGCAGGTCAGCCTCCGTGCTCCTCTCTGGCATCTGCTGGGCCCTGAGACGGCCCTGAACTCTCTGCTCTGGGAGAAACAGAGACTGTCAGGCGGGAACCCTCCTTTTTCCGTCCTCGTTCTCCAGGCTGTGGACGCGCCTTCTTGTTGGCCTCTCCTCACCTCCTTTCTCTCCCTTCCCGAGTGGCTGCTTCTTACTGTCCTCCTTGGGACCCACTAGCTAAGTCTAGGCCGTGCCCTCCCACCCCTGCCCCCGCTCTGCCTCTTCCCTGGGCAGCCTTACCCACAAACCGAATGCCTAACCTGTACATTCAGTGCCGATCTTCTTTCTCAGATTTTATTTTTAACTGTTTATTTTATTGTTGACTGAATATCTTCACTCACATACCTGATGGTTTCTTCAAATTCAACATGTCCAAAACTGGCATCTTTATTTGCCTCTGAAAAATCAGCTCCTCCTCCTATTTTCTCAGTCTTGCTGAGGGGTGCTGTGATCTACCGAGTCATCCCAGCCACAAGTTTGGATGGCTTTTTTTTTTTTACCTCCTTGAATAGTTCTAGAACTGACTGATACAGTAGCTACTGGCTATATACAGTTATTTAAATTTGAACTTAAGTTGTTTAAAATAGAATACTATTTAAAAATTCAGATCTTTGAGTACACTAGACACATCGCAAGTCCTCAGTAGCCACGTGTGGCCAGTGGTACCATAGTGGACAGTACAGCTGTAGGACATTTCCATCATGACAGGAAGTCCTGGTGGACAATGCTGGTCTGCAGTACATTTTGCTGTTTTTGCTCCCACTTCACTGTGAGCACCTGTCATTTCACACCAGTGACTGCCAGTACAGCTCTGACTCACCTCCTTTATCTTCCTCACTCCAGTCCACTCCCTTCTCAATCTACTGACTTTTATAAAACCTTCTTCTCCCTTTGGGAGTCATTAAGGCGTTATGGCATTTAATGTCATTTCCTTATCTGAGTCCTTCATAACTCCCCCATCGCCTCTTCCTTACTGGCTTGTGGGATGACTACTCAACCTTCAAGGCTGAATCCCAGATCCAGTCTGGGAAGGCAGAGGTGATGTCGCTTTCACACTTTGATACTCCGTGTTGGTGCCCTTCACAGGGCGCATCTCCCATTGTAATGTTTGGCTGGACTCTGAGACCCTGAAAGGCCAGAACCTTACCTTCATACACTACCAGATTTCCAACACACAGAACAGATTGGCTTCTCTTCTGGGCATCTAGATAGATGGCTACATGCTCACTTTAGGAGAAATGAGAAAATGGCCACTCAAATCATGTTCTGGGCTCTATTGTTGAAGAACTCCAGTTGAGAAAGGCTGGGAAGGGTGATGAATGACTTTCCTACAAGGGTCGATTCCTTGCTTAGGGTTGCTGTAATTCCTGGCTTGTCTCTGACTCCAAACCACCCATTTTGTAGAGAGAAACATGTTTTCTTGAATAAAATATCCTCAATGAAAGATGGATGTATTAGTTAATCATCTCAAACTTGGTGGCTTAAAACAATAGAAATTTATTCTCTCTCAGTTCTGGGGTCCACAAAATCAAGGTGTGGACAGGGCTGCACTTCTGAAGGCGCCAGAGGAGAAGCCTTCCCTGCCTCTTCCAGCCCCGGGGCCCCTGGTGTGTGACTCAGGGCCAGTCTCCACCTCCACCTGCACGTGGCCGCTCTCTGCGTGCCTCAGACCTCCCTTTCCTTTCTCTTGTAAGGACACCCGTCGTTAGGTTTGGGGCCCAACCTAAAGCCAGGATAATCTCATCTTGAGGTCTTTAATTTAAGGACATCTACAAAGACCGTATTTCAGAATAAAGTCATATTCACAGGTACTGGGGGTTGAGAGCTTAGTTGACATATCTTTTGTGGGGAATAAAATTTAGCCTGCTACAATAGGTGAAAATAAAAATGAGGACTCTTGATAGCTGTGTTTTCCAGCCCCGAAGCCTTACCTACGCTGAGTCAGCAGACTGGCTGAGCCTTCATTTCTGTGCATTTATTCATTTAAATTTAATAGCCCGTCCCCAACTCAAGAGGCAAGGGAAGGTGGCTTCACTCAACCATCTGTCTCTTTTTTTCCATTACAGACTTACTCCACTCCCTTCAGCTTGATTTTTTTTTCACTAACGATTATCATTAAATGATAATGCATAGACCAGAATAAACATGTTTGTCATCCTTTTGTTTTTCAACAACATTTTCTAGGTCCAAAAATTTTTTGATGAAAAAGGATATTTAGATTTAGAAATTTTAGGCACTCATGTCCAAGCACAAACCTGCATTGGAAAATGACTACCAGTCATTGTCTGTGTATAGTTACAAAGAACATAGATAACTTTTTGTGTATTTATTTTTCAGTGTCATCTAAATTTTCCACAATGAACATGTCTTATTTTAGTGATTAGAAGAAGAAACTTTTTTTGTAATATGGGTAGTTTGCATGAAGCTTTTATAAATTGCCCAGGATAATCTGTATTTTTAAAAAACTAAGATGAGTGGGCCAATTGGGATTCTAGAAACAGACCACCGATTGTTTTCTGAGTGATTCAGACACTCTTTAGATTTTGGAGTGGTATTAACAGTGTTAATTATTCAGGATCTCATCAACCTCTCACAGAAGCAGCAACTGAAATCCATGGTCTTCACCCAGGAGGTTTCCCTGGTGCCAGGAAGCTAGTCTGATGGGAAAGTGGGCCTCTCCCGCTGCCACGTGGCCTACCAAGGCATCCATACTATTCCTGTTCTTGGTGTGTTGGGACTATTCCAGAATGAGTCCTGTAATCTCTCACCAGCAATACCGTTTGGCTTTGACAGGCATGTGTTTTTATAGTCTTTGAACTATTTCAAGGTCTGCCCTGTGTCAGGCGTGCTAAGACGACTACATGTATTTCCATCAGGCCGTGTTATTGGAGGCCGTGGCCAAGCAGTAGGCACTTTTTAGCTGTTTCACTATTGAATGCAATTTGCTCCGAAGGAATTTTCCTATTTGCCTTCTAATATGTTGATGAATTATTTAAATTTCAATTACTTTTGGTCCCCAATTTAGTAGGAATGGAGACATCCAAGATATTTAATATGAAAAGCTTTCCAGTCACTTTTAGAGAAGGGTTTGCCCAGCAGGGCTTGGCGTCAGCGCTGGCAGGGCTGTGGCTCCACTCCTCCTGTCCCTGAGACAAGTGCGGTCACGGCCTGAGGGGTCCCTTAGGGCAGTGCTGCTCAGGGGGCGAGCCCCAGCCCAGAGCATCAGCATCCTGGGAGATTGTTAGATACGCAGTTTCCTAGGCTTCATCCCTGGTACTAAATCAGAACCCCTGGGGCGGGGCCCTGGGCTCTGTGCTGACCAGCCCTCTGGGACCTGCTGGTGCACTGGGCATTTTGGAAAGCCCTGCCCTGGGCGTTTCAGTGCACATTCCTCCCGGCAGGGCCTGGTGCCCATTTGTGAGGGCCCTTGGGTGCTGTGGTGGGTTTGGCCTTAAAGACAGACATTGTACATCCTTCCCACATCCCCAGGATGAGCCCATCTTGGAGTCCCTTGGGGAAGGGCTGAGGGTGCCCTCTCTGTCTCTTCACTTAGCCTCACCTCTTTCCCAGCGCAGATCTCTCTTCTCCCCCATGTGTGTTGGACAGTTTGCCATTCTTCAAACAGCGTGTCATCCTGATGCGTGTGCTCTCAGGCAAGCTGTTCCCCCCACAATGTTCCCACACCACCCCGAAGCCAATCCCTCACTCTCCTCGCCTGTCATAACCTGTTCACCTGTAGGATTCCCTCCTTAACCCTTCCCTTGTCTTCAGATGGAGTCATACCTTTCCCCTTCTCTGCTTCCCGCAGCACTCTTGATAGACATTTGTATCATTAATGTGCATTTGAATTGAAATTACTTGTCTCTCTCTTCCTCTGAGCTCCGTGGGACTGGGGATTCTGTCTAGGTTCTGTCTGCAGTGCCCACGACAGCAGGCATGTGAGGCTGTAAGAGTAAACAAGCCTTACAGACAGTCATCCTACCTCTGCTGAGAACCTCCAGTGCCTTAGAAAACATGTTCACCTCATGCTCCTGAGGAGTTGCTGATGGCCAGCCAGCAGCAGGTCCAGTTAAGAATACAGGCCATGTCTAGTTTATGTGGACTCAGCCAACTTCACTTTCCAGGAAGCTAATCTCTGAATGTAATAAGTGGGAGCCCTGCCACCCAGCCATCTGCTGTTTTGCTCTTTGGACATGGAAGGCACACCAACTATGTCTAAAGGCATGATTCTTTCAGGTCCGAGAGCTTCAAACTCGACTGCAGAGCATGCAGGCCACAGGGCCATCCAGCCCCAGCCGCCTCACTTCTGCCAACCGCCCAGTTAACCCCAGCACGGGCGAGCTGAGCACGAGCAGCAGCAGCAATGACATTCCTATCGCCAAGGTGAGCTCCTGGGGGCGGCGGGAGCCCGTTACTTGCAGCACCAGCCCTGCCCAGAGGTGCCCCTGTGCTGTTCCCGATCTGCCCAGGCGGCCGCAGGGGCTTCCTGGGGTCTCGCGTAGGCCTCCAGTGCTACAGCTGCAGGGAGAGAACCCGCTGGTGGTTTTAAGTCTCTTTTGGCCACGACCTGGACACCAGCTCTCATTAATCAGCTGGTGGGAGCATGTCCCAGTTGCCAAGTCGTTGTGGGGAGTAAGATGTTTTGTCAGCTTCTACAGCACCAAGGGGTGGACTAAGAGGTGACTCTTGAGGACCAGGACTCAGCCAGGAGGGGATCCTGAGTAGTGAACCAATGATCTCCCCGCTCATGGGAATGACACCCCTGCCAGCAGAAAACCAGATTATGACGGGCAGGCCTGGCACTTGTGAGAAATAGCCCCGCATGTCTGCCACAGCCCCCTGCCCTCTATGTTGAGTTTCTACCCCAGAAAGACTGTGAAGTGGTACGTGTCTTGTCCCCTACCAGTCTCCACAAGAAGGTTGGTTCTCAACCGTCACATTTAGTAAATTGGGTCAAATGGGTGTTTCTCAAACAGAAGTAATTTCATCCCGCAAGGGGTACTTGGCTATGTCTGGAAACAGTTTTGGTGGTCCCAGCTGGAGTGCCGCTGTGGGCTCGCGGCCAGAAGCCGAGGACGCTGCCGTACGTCCTGCAGTGCACAGAGCAGCCCCCACAACAGTGTCGCCCAAAATGTCAGTAGTGCCGAGCTTGAAAATCCTCGGGTCAAGCAGATGGTAGAATTGGGCAAGGGAGTTGTTTTTAAGAAACTGCTTCATCAGTTTAGTTGCCGTGGTTAAACAAGAGCCCTCTGTAAACACAGTCTCAACAGTTTGTCTGGGGGGTGCTGTGCTGTCATTTGGTAAATTTTTGTTTTGTCTTTTAAGATTGCCGAGAGGGTGAAACTGTCGAAGACCAGGTCCGAATCTTCGTCATCTGACCGGCCGGTCCTGGGCTCCGAAATCAGCAGCATAGGGGTGAGTGTTTATGAGAAGCAAGACAAGGAAGCGCAATAGAGCCGCAGAGACAGGCTTACAGATGGTAGAGAATTTCCAACGTTCGCCTCCACCAAGTCAGCTATGATAAATCACAACCGGTTTCCTTCCAAAGGGTCAGATTAAAGTGGTTTCCATGTGGAGTGTTACTTCTTCAGTTTTAAGGGAAATTTTTTTCCTCTGCTTGAAACCATTCAGAAAGGACTGAGTTGGGTCTAGTTATTGGTGATGTAGATGGAAGTCTTGAAGTATCTGCTTTATATCACCCTGCTTCCCCGGAGACAGAGTCAGGAAGCTCTAGAGAACTTCACATTTGCCCATCCCTCTTGAACAGGAATGTGTCTCAGTGAAGGTATATGCTGCCTTTGAAGTGTAGCCCGGGGCTACAGAGGAGCAGAACCTTCCCACCTAGTACCAGAGTTTTCATTTGTAGAGCCTTCGAACCCCCAGGGGCTGCACGAGCTGATGGATGGGGAGAAGGGAGTAGTTTCGGTTCCCTGAGCGATGTCTGTTAGGATTGGGGATGATCCTCAGGCACAGGGAGAGACTGAATTTAAGGCCCTGATTTAGAATTCTGCGCTGAGAAAAACTGCATGCACTCAGATAGCATGCCAAAGCCAAACAGGGGAAATGAAGGAGTCAGCTGCTCTCCTTGGCTGCAGCCACCAGCACCAAGAGCCTGGAGAGGTGGGGACTCAGGTGGGGGAAGCAAGGCCAGACTCTGTTCAGTATCCAGAATCTTGGGGACTCTACAGAGGCACGGTCCCCCACGCCTGCTTCCCCACACACATGCCTGCAGGATGCAGCTGTGTTGCGATCTGGTTTTGTCTACTGCTTTCCCAGTGGTTTGTTTTTATATTAGAATCATGTTATACAAACAGGAAGATCAGGGTAACCATCTCCTGGTGCCTGATTCTCAAGGAATATCAGCTTTAAGTTGCTTTGCATGTGCAGCATGCCTAGAGGACCAGTGACCCTGAAGTCACATTGTCCAGAGGGGGACTAATGCTCACTCATCCAGGTATCCAGCAGTGTGGCGGAGCACCTAGCCCACTCTCTTCAGGACTGCTCCAACATCCAGGAGATCTTCCAGACGCTCTACTCACATGGATCTGCCATCTCAGAGAGCAAAATTAGAGAGTTTGAGGTAGAAACGGAACGGCTGAATAGGTAAGGAGAAATCCTTATTTGAACGGTGGTGTTGTGGGGAGCTGCCATCCTCTCCCTTTCCAAAGGTCAATTCAAGTTGGCTTGTGACATAGAATGAGGCTGTCAGGCTGGTGGGTGGGGAATTTTCACCATCTTGCTCATCAGCAGAGGGCTTGCAGCAACCCAGGCTGCCTTCCTGGGTGTGTGTCACCTATGCATGTGAGTGCACAGGGCCTTGTGTTTAGAAGGACCCCACATGTGCTTGACTGCCTTGCTGTCACTGTTTTAAGTTCTTAATAATTTAAGAACCAGGGGCCCCCACCTTTTCATTTTGCACTGGCCCTTGGAAATGATGTCGCAAGTCCTGGGAGCAGTCTGCATAGAATGATAAGTAGGTCAAAATGACAGGATGGCTACCAAGCCTGCAGTCCTGTGCTGCCGAGACCCACAGAAAGCATCTCTGGAATGTTGAGTCAGCATCCCAAGGGCGTCTGGAGCTGCCAGGAACCAGCAAAAGCTGTGAGATACAGGCGTTCCTGGGGTTGCACAGACAGGCTGCCCTAACCTCCCTGCTCCTCCTGAGGGTTGCCTGATTTTATTTTTGCCGTCTGCAAATATGCACAATTCTCCACCCCCTACATCTTATCCTCCTCACAATAATTTTACTGTGTACCCAGTGTTACACATTCTTCCCAAGACTCACAACAGACGTAGGTTAAGTTTGTACCCCTGCCTCTCGGCAAAGCCAGCAGGGAGAGAGAATTGCTGAAAAAGCAAAGGAGAAGGACCAGGTCCAGACCACGCAAACCACCGACTCAGAACTGGCCCCGCAGTGCAGAATGGGCTGGGGGATCACGCCTGAGGGTGGCGGGCTGCCCTGACTACCAGTCTTCAGTGGGAGAGCAGAGTGAGAGTTTGAAAGGCTTATGAGCCAACCAGGAAGAAACGTGGATACCATTTCCCATCTACCATTGCTAATGCTGTTTCCCTCGTGTCTGGCAAACCTGAATAAATTGAATTATCGTGTTAGTCCTCCCTGATTTGAAGCCGCTTAATACAGTGCTTGAGGACTAATGAAATGTGGCAATCTAGGCCATTTTACATCTTGAAATTAAATGTTTTTCTTATTAAATCCAAAATACTTAAGAGTGACAGTCCTGATGTAGAAGTAAAGAAGGAGCCCTCTTAACTTCTCAGGTAGCTTCTCAGGCTAGGAGTGCTTAAAAATAGAGTCAGATGTCTCCCTTTGTGATTCCATGAAGTCAGATGCCTTCTGGGGCCCTGTGTTGAGTGGAAATCTCCTCTGTACTGATTCTGGGATTTGACAAGCCTGCTCTGTGGTTGAACTTGGGGAGTTTCCTTCCTCAGGTGTGTACACCTAGGAGAGACCAAAGGACAGGGAAGCATTCGGTACCTGTAGCTCTCAGTATCATGGTGTTCAACAGTGTGCAAAGGACTCTCACAATCACTGACCCTCAGCTTGGGGGGGCAGAGGAGGCCCATTCTGCAAGCGAGAAAACAAAGGCTTCCATATTGAGCGACTTGTCTTAGGTCCAGAGCTATTAATAGCCCTGCTGGAATTCCAGACCCTGCCCTTTGACCTCACCACCATTGTCCTCTATGAGCAAAGCTACTGCTAGGATGTGGAGTTCTTAGAAATAATCTACCAGTATGTCCTCAAGTCTGTTATTTAACTACCTATGTCAGAGCTAGAGGCCTAATACACTCCGAAAAATGACAGCCTTTAACTTTGTGAGTATGCCTGTTGGGCAAAGCAGGATTATACCTACTCAGAGGTGTTTCCTTATTTAATGAATGTGTTCTAAGCACCTACTGTGTGCTAGGCTGTTTGGCACACAAAGAAAAGTAACACAGGCAGGGTCCCTGCTCTCATGGAGCTTATATTCTGTTAGGGGAGCTATACAAGAAGCAAACATATAAATGAAATCATAAAAAGGCCTAAGTAAATAAGGTGCTGTGGTAGAATAGCAGGGGGAGGGGTGTGTGTGTGTGTGTGTGATTTTACGGAGGTAGCCAGGGAAGGCATCTCTGAAGAGAGGACTTGAAGTTAAGGCGTTAAGGGAAAGGGGCAGCAGCCATATGGTACACTAAGAGTCCCATGGGCCGATGTATCAACCTGAAGGCTGGGAAGAGATTGGTCTGAAGCAGGAACTGCCAGAGGCTGATGGAACTGAAATTGAATGAATGAATGGCTGAGTTGCATGAGACGAAGTAGTGGAGTTGGCAGGGCTGATGGAATATAGGCAAAGTTTAGTCTTTATTCTAAGTGCCACTGGAAGTTATTAAAGAGTTTAAAGTAGGGGAAGAACAGATCTGATTTAAATTTTGAAGATCACTCATGTGTGAAGAGTGGAAAGGGGTAGGGCAAGAGTAGAAGCAGAGAGGTTATTACCATGGACCAGCATGGCCAAAGCGCGGTGGCGGGAAGGGGCAGAGGTCAGCATGTGTTTGGGGTAAAGTCAGTGGAACTGCAGCTGGGTTTGAGCTGGATGTAAGAGAAAGCGATGGTCCCCAGAATTCTCAGGTGTCTTGCCTGTACTGTTGGGTAAACTGTGGTGGCACTTATGAGATGGAGAAGATGAGGAGGATGAACTTTGGGGGAAAATCTAGGATCCCGTTTGAGAATGTTCAATTTGATGTGTCAGTGTGACACCCAAATGGAAATATCAGGAAACAGAAGATCTGTGAGACTAATATTCAGAAGAGAGGTTCATGCTGGAGAAATTTGGGAACCATGGAAACAATAACACCTTGAAAAGTCATGCGGCTGGATAAAAATCACCCCTAGGGAGAGAGTGTTGATAGAGGTGGGGGTGGGGACAGGACTGAGCCCTGAGGTAGTGCCATCCCTCACCGATTTCATAAGAATAAGGAGTCAGCAAAAGGCACAGAAGAAATGGCTGAGGAGGAACAAAGCCAGTGGAGAACTGTCATGCCCCAAGTGAGAGAGAACATTTTAAAGAGGTAGGAGCAGCCAAATAGTGGGGAGTTGCCAGAGAAGGCCCCCAAGATGGGATTGCTTAGGAGGCCTGTGAGCTGGGCAAATAGTTTTATCTAATTAGTGGGGACTGAAGGTACACTGGAGCAAGTTGAAAAGTAAATGAAAGAGTGGGTCTGTTCAAGAAGTCTTAATGTCAACAGGACAGAAAAGTACGTTTCTGTAACACCTTGCATTGAACGGCCCTCCTGTCTGCCAAAGCCCTACGGCGGGCTTCATTACACACTCCGCTGACGCCTCCCAGGTTACCGACAGTCTTCATAGCCTGCTCTAAGACATGTGGTCCTAAGATTGATCCTCAAGGCAGATGGCCTCCAAGCCCCTTAACATTTCAAGAGGCCCTTGAATTTTGTGTGTGTGACACCCTCTGTCTCTAAGTCTCCGTGGTCAGGGCACTACCGATGGGTGTGACCGTGGAAAATGAATCATTACATCTAGAGCATCAGTGTCCTGGGAGGGAACACAGGCTGAAGGCTTATGTTTTTCTGACTTTGCCATAAACTCATTTGCTCTGAATTTATAGTTTTGATTCCTATAAAACTGAACATTCCCACTGCTTGTCCTACCAGTGGTTAGCAGTTGTGAGACTCTCCAACCTGGAAGAAGCTGTGGACATAGTCCACAATTCCTGGTCTGCTTTCCATTCAGAGACACTTAGGGGCAGGTTCTTGTTCACTCAGAGGTCTGTCTTTGGCTTCTGCTCTGTATTGAGTGGTCAGTACAGGATCTGGGGTCAAACCGCCTGGCTCACATCCCAAACCAAGGCACTGAGCTTTCTGTGCCTCCACTTCCTCCTCTGAGAAATGGGAGTGGTGATGCCTCTGCCACAGGGCTGCTGGCCTGCCCAGCCACCGCTGCGGCGCTGCTCTGCATTTGTGCCTGTGAAGGGAGCTTCAATCAGTCGTGACTCTCACGAGGGCCTGAGGTCGCTGACTGGCTCCTTTCCTTGGTAGCCTCACTCAGTACCTGGCACATGATGTGTCCGTGCAGGGTGGGGAATAACCAGGGGGCTTATTTTTATTTCTAATTCACATGGAATTTAGTAATTCCTTTACTTTAGATTTGCTTCCTGTATTTCACATCCGTTACATTTGCAAAAAAACATCTGACAAATTCACCTTCTAACGTACATTTCTGGCCTGGATCTAGATTAGACAACTAAAATATTGGCAAAGGCATTGTATTCTAGTGTGAAATCGTGAATGAGTTTTCTTCCCTTGTAGTCGTATTGAACACCTCAAATCCCAAAATGACCTCTTGACCATAACCCTGGAAGAATGCAAAAGCAACGCCGAGAGGATGAGCATGCTGGTGGGGAAATACGAGTCCAATGCCACGGCACTGAGGCTGGCCCTGCAGTACAGGTAGGGGCATGCGCGGGGCAGCCACCCTGACTTAGAAATGCCACCGTACGGACATTTGCAGAAAGGGAGGACACAGGCTTTCAGCACGCATGCTGGGGCTTGAACCAGCAAATGCTAGTGTGATACATGATGGGAATCAATTCGCACCCTTGTAGCGAGTAAGAAAGTAAGAGTCAGGAGAATGGTGTGAGTAAACAGGGATGTTTCTGCTAACATATTCAGCTTAAATGTTATTTCATTCAAGCAATACACTCAGGATAACAAGTTTTGTATTATATATTCATTTGGTCTTTCCAGTCTTTATTCACATTCCCATGTATTTAAATTGAAGCTGTAAATCTAGTGCATTCTTCTTCCCTTTGTTGTAGTTTTGTAATATTGATGAATAGTCTCCAGTTACTGTGAGTGGCTGTATCACCTGCATCAAGCTTATATATTGCTATTTTATTTACTCATTTCTCTAAAATAAATTTAGACTTCTGTAGACTTTTAACCATGAAAACAATTTTAAGGTGAATAATTTAATACAGATAATATCTTCATTCTTTTGAATATTTTCCCTGGGATTAACATCCCTGAAGCTGTAATTATAGGTCAAAAGATACTAATGTTTTCATGGTTCTTCAGGCATGCTGCCAGTTTGTTCCCATAACAACAAACCAGTTTAAATGACTATGATTCATTGATTCATTCATTAATAAGCAAGTGGTAAATGAATGTATTTCAGCCTCATCAGCTTTGGAATTTATTTTTAAATTACAGCTTCCTTAATAACTACAAAGCTATACTTTATTATTGTTTTATTTTAGCATCACCACTTACGCATATTTGCCAAGGTCCCAGAGTAGTGACTGCGTCATACTCTTAGCATCCTCTAAAAAGATCAATATGGTTTTAAGAAACCTTGTTTCTGTAGAAAACAAAATCAAATCAAAGTCCATGAGACCAAAGCTAGAGAGCAGTCATACGTGTTCACAGACACACCAAAGCAAACAGATGGTCCATCTATGATAACTCTTAAAACAAGCTGTTCTGCCACAGTCTGCCGTCTTCTGGGTGGATGCAGCAGTGGCCCAGGGTCTCTACCCTGAAAGGTGGATTGCCCTTGCAAGGCGAAGCTGCCAGCACCCAGAGCTGGGGATTGGGCCCTTTTTCTTATCTCTTAGTAAAGGAAGATGAAGAAAAGACAATAAAAAAAGAGATGGTCGGTTGACTAAGTGTTGAGTAACACATTTCCCCTGCACAGCTCAGAGAAGATACCAGTTATTTGCTTAGGGAGAAATTTCTCTCCTCAGGCATCTTGTCCAGAACTACTCAGGCACAGCACCTGCACTCCACCCCCTTTGCAGACGTGGGTCTGTGGTCACGGGTGGAAATGGGAAAGGGGTTACCCTTTGATCCTGTACCTGGTGTGCCCCGTGATGATGCACACAAAGAAGAGAAACTAATTTTCTTCCTCTTGGAAATCAGACTCCAACCCTTATCAGAGATTTTATGTTTCATGAGACCGTTTTGCAAGCATCTGATAGAACTTTCTGTGAAGATGAACTGTTCTCTGTGCTGTCAATAGGGTAACTGCTAGCCAGCCACATGTGGCCTTTAAATACATGAAATATGGCTATTGCAACAGAGGAACTTAATTTTTCATCTTATTTGACTTAAATTCTTTTTAATTTAAATAGCCACACTTGGTCACTGGCTACTGTGTGGAATAGTGCAGGTGTAGATCAAAATAGTCTCCTTTCTGGGGGTTCCATTAGTTACCTCTTATTGTATAGTATTTATTCTGGCACAGTTCAGGGTCAGGAAGCTGGGAGTGATTTAGCCCGGTGGTTCTGGCTTAGGGTCTCCTTTGAGGTTCTGGTCAAGGTGTCAGCTGGGGCTGCGTCATCCGATGGCTTAATTGGAGCTGGTGGATCTGCTCAGAAGGCTCAGTCACTCGCTGTTGGGTGGAGTCCTTAGGCCTTGACTCACTGTTGGCTGGAAGCTGTAGTCCCTCACCGCACGGGCCTCTCCGTCGGGCTGCTCCACAGTCTTCAAGACGTGGCAGCTGGCCTCCTCTCAGGAGGGTGATCCACGACAGAAGGTGAGGGGGGAAGCACAGGGCGGAGGTCGCAGGCCCTAACCTTGGAGGTGACACCATATTCTCTTTGTCACATGGACCAACCCTGGTACAGTGTAGAAGGGGACCACAAAGGTGTGACAGCAGCTTGTGGGACCAGCGGGGGCCGCCTTGGGGGCTGGCTACCTCCCCTTGTAGCTGACCCTCAGAGGGGCAGCAAACTTGCCTCTCCCAGCGTTACTGCTTCTCTTATATGTTTCTAGGTCCTAGTTTAAAATAAAATAAAAAGGCAACCTAGCAGAGTGAGCCCATGGGTCCTGGGCATTTGTCCAGGAATACCGGTGGGTGCGTCCTGGCCTCCCCCGCCAGTGAGGCTGGGGTGCGTCTGGAGGGAGCAGAGCTGCCCTGAAGGGGCGCCGTCCTCCAGAGCAAAGATGCTGTGTGCTTCCTTTCAGTGAGCAGTGCATGGAAGCCTACCAGCTCCTCCTGGCGCTGGCCGAGAGCGAGCAGAGCCTCATCCTGGGGCAGTTCCGGGCAGCCGGCGTGGGCTCTTCCCCCGGTGAGTGTGGCCCGAGCCCCCCTCCTCCCCCCCTTCCCTTCCCCCTCCCCCCTTCCCCTTTACCCCTTCTCCTCCTCCTCATCCCCTGCCTCTCTTGCTCTACTGCCCCCATCTTGGCTGTTGGCATTGGAACACCTCCCAACAACATGAAATTCGCTTGTCAAGTGTGTTTTTCCTTTTTTCCCCTTGACTGAGTGAGTAAATTGTTTATGTTGAATGCAGCAAGAACTGGAGTGGAAACAGAATTACAGACAAGTCAAAACAAACAAGCCCTCTTAGGAAACATATTCTCCAGGGCAACAGTCGGACCAGATGGAGCAGGAGGCCCGCTTTCGCGATGAAAGGGACTGACTTCCCCAGCCTCTCTCTGAGATGCTGCTCGTTGAGGGTCCCTTAGCTGCCCACGCGGCCTCTGCCTCATCCAGTGGTTTTTATGGGCTGGGCTTCTCCTCCAGGTTCATTCCTTTGGGTAGTTGTGAAGCATGAGTTCCCCCTACCTAGTCTCCAGGTGTCTTACGAATATGGAGGAAGCAGTCCCACATCCTGCTGTCATGGCCTCGCAGAGCTAACCCCGTGAGCCCCGCCTTGTGGAGGGGCAGAGGGGCCTGCTGCCCCACCACCCCCTCAGGGGTTAGGCATCCTGTTGGCCTGATGAGTACCTCCCGGCCTGCACTGCCCCCCACTACTACCCCTTACTTTTGAGCAACTAGAAGGGTGATCAATAGAAAAGACACCGGTGTGGCATCCGAGTCAGCACCATCCGTCGGCACTCTGCCGGTGCTGTGGCTCTGGGCCTGGCAGTGAGGCGAGGAGCGCTGCAGGTGAGAGGACCGAGATCCCGAGGAAGGGTGCCTCTCGGCGCCGACGGCAGACACCACCTCAGCCTGCACTTACAACAGCGGCCTCTTCAGTGGAGCAGCAGCAGTTAACAGAAAACTGGCGAACTCCAGAGCAAAAATGGGTGGGCCTGCCAGGCTTTTCTTCGAGGGCTGTGAGCCTCCATGAGGACTGGTGTTGCAAGGGTACACCTCGGGGTCACCCTCAGGGACCCTCCTGAGCACCTCCCCAGCCCGCCCATCCTTCTTACCAGCTGCTCCCTGCTTGCCTGGGGTCTAGCTTCTGGCCCAAGCGCTCACACGTTTCTCCTCCTTCGGCTTGGACATGTACAGGAATCTGAAGGAAAGGAGGTGTCCTGGGTGTTATTTTCCTGCTTAATATCTAAATTAGCCATCAGAGGAGCAGGCCTCTGTTTGCACAGGGAGCCACCCTCCACTCCCCTCTCTAGATTTTTTTGGGGGAGGGGGTTTAAATAGTATTAATATCCCAGTCCCAAAGTAGAAATTGTGCCAACATTTCCATTAGAAACCTCATTTTTCAGGGTCTTTTAACTGAACCGTAAAACTTTATACCTCATATTAAACAGATCCTAAAATGATCTTGGCCTGCTGTCAAGGTTTTTTCTTAATATATGTATTAAAGGAAATGATCCATTAAAGGAAAAGAATCACTCATCTTATTTCCAGTTTGTATCAGAGGAATGTCCTCATAAGGTACCCTTTATTAGGCGTGGATCTGCTCAACACAATTACTTGAAAGGAGCTAAAAGGGCTTAAATAAACCTGCCTCTACAATATTTAACATCAGTAAGGAAATGCTTTGTATTAACGTAATCCTGGGTAGCTCATGGATATACTTATAAAATGAGCCACTTGGTAATATCATGCCTGCTTCAGAACAGAATTCCTAAGAACAGTCAATGAGATGTATGAGATGTATGTAAAATACCTTGTTTGTGGGAGTAAAAAAGGCATGGAGGTTGTCAGAGGAATGGGTGGGGCCGTCCAGGCACGCTCAGCCTGCAGGCCATGTGCCCCCATCTCCTCTCCGCTCTCTGGGAGGCTGAGGGTTGGCTTCACTGGCACGGGTTCCTTACTCAATCCCACCCCTCCATTCTGCTAACAGTGGCGGCTGACCCGTCATTCGGCCCTAACGTGCCGTTAGGTTGCGCAGCAAAGCAAGTACTCATTTGTGACACTTACCCACAGTACCAATTATTGTGGGTTTTTTGTTATTTCTGGTTGACTGCACAGGCATTCATTACATTCATTGTAGATGATTCAAACCAGTGGTTTCCAAACCGTGCCCTGGGAAGCTGATGGCGGGGATTTGGGCTTCAGCAGTGGGCATGGAAGCTGCATGTATGCCCCTCACCCCCACCCACTTCAACCAGTCCCAAATTGACCATTTTTGTACCTTAGACTTTGGCATAAGATACCATTTGAAAGTATTTGGGAGACTGTGGATCTGGACTGCAGAAGGAGCAAACTGGTGACTCGTTTGACCAGCGGTCTTTGAAACACAGCAAGGGTGTGAACAGCTTAGGCAGGGAATGCACTGCCTGGCTCCGTGCTGGTGGCCCTCTCTCCTGAGGTCTCACTCCAGCCCAGTCACCACACTGCTGGAGGCATTTGAGCTTGCCACTGGCCAGCCGAGGTGAGGAAAGTCAGGCATAGCTTTGCTCCAGAGAGCCAGTCTGAAGTTCTCATTTCAGCCATTAGGTATGTCTCTGTTGCCTACACAAAGTTCTAAGTAAAGCTGTAAGCATGTGGAGATATGGCACAGGTTGGTCTCAGTCCTTGTTCACAATGAAGTGCCAACACAGGGAGGAATGGCCACACAGACTTGTGGCCAGTGGGAGGAGGGGCCAGGAGCCTGGATAACTAGAAAATCATAGCATTGTAGACCTGGAAGCAGACCTAAGAGATCATACTGGCCAGCCCTTCATTCATTGATGAGGACAGTGGAGCCCAGAGCAGTAAGCACAGCTTCTTGCCAGGAACAGAGCCAGGCCCAGCAAGTAGATGTCTCCGTGGCCCCCCACCGCTAGTTCCTGTCCACCAGGCCGCCTCTGCCTGAGTAACTGAGAACTGATTTTCCAGCTCACTCCCAGGCTTGTCTCATCGAGACCTGTGTTGATTAACCAATCCATTGGCTTCTCTTTGATACAGGAGACCAGTCAGGGGATGAAAGCATCACTCAGATGCTCAAGCGAGCTCATGACTGCCGGAAGACGGCTGAGAACGCCGCCAAGGCCCTGCTCATGAAGCTGGATGGCAGCTGTGGGGGAGCGTTTGCCGTGGCCGGCTGCAGCGTGCAGCCCTGGGAGAGCCTGTCCTCCAACAGCCATACTAGGTAGTGCCCGGCCTTCCTGCCGCGATGGGACATGTGTCCATGTGGGGTCTGCTCCCTAGGCTTGCCATGCAGTGACCCAGCTCCCAGAGACTGAGGCTTGGGGAAGGGCACAGAGTTCTCCTCTAGCTTGCCACCGCTCTAGCCCAGGAGCCAGGGAGTCCGGATGGGAGACCCAGACGGGGCCTTCTGGTGTGGCCGGTGTGAAGCTGTGGCCCAAACGGGTGATTTGCTCAAGAAAGCAGTGGAGAGGGCACCAAACCTGCCTTTCTGTCTGGTGCTCTTTCTCCCATTTTTTCTATTCTCCTTTTCTTTATGGTTCTTAGTTTCCAAGAAGCATCTGGAATAGCTAGGGCCCATTTGCTGCAAACGGTCCCTAAGCACCCAAGCCCCAGCCCGCTGCAGCGCAGCCCAAGCTCCATTTTCCCCCTTCCTCTTGCGCTTCTGTCCTTTGTGAGCTCTTCTCAGTCAATAGCTTCTCCTCTTCTCCCGTCTCTTTTGCCTCAGAGAGTGATTCATGTTCACAGCCGGTGCGTAACAGACACTCAGTCATGAACCTGAGTTCAAGTTCAGTGTCTGTGAATCTAGAAAACTGAAGTGGATACTTGAACAAAATGGGAAGGAAAGCTGGGAAGACCCTGAAAAGCATGATTTGCTGAGGCCACTGGACTCTCTTGGAAGGGGGCAGAAGGGCAGAATAAAGCCTTTGCTAGTGATCTTGTTTCTTGCCACCGAAGCCCTAAAAACATGAATGCCTTCCCTTTGTGTACCAGTTCTCAGCCTACAAAGTACTTTGTTAGAGAAATGCATGTGATGGCCAAATCATAAAAGACAGGGAGGGTAACTTACTCCATTTTCACAGGGGAGAAAATCTTGGCTCAGAGATGTGTGATTGACCCGCCTTAATAAGCTCACTCGGCTCGCAGATAAGAGGGAAATTAGGACTTGAACCCAGGACTTTGGCATCCAGTATATTGTTCTTCACACTGAGGCAGATCGGATTATAAAGCAGTGTCTACTTGCAGATCCAGTACCAGAACCACATAAGGGTAGATTGACTCTCAAGAGCCAAAGAAGAAATATCATTGCTTCCTTGGTGCCCAAAAGCAATTCACGTTCCCGCCTCTCTTCCAGCCGCAGGACCCAGCTGCCTGCTGGCGCACACATATCTGCCTGTGCCGGACCTGGGCCCTCGGAAGAGGGGATGTCCCCAGGAACGTGCTTGACCAGGTGCCCACAAGTGCAAGGGGCTTACTTCCTCTTGGCTCCGGCAACACTTGTCTTATTCAGGGAAGTACAAATGATGACTTATTTTTCCTTAAAACCAGATCCTTCTGTTTAAACACAGAGAGCAGATGTTCTTCTTAGTGACTTTTCCAGATGTGTAGAATCTGTAATTTCCGTGTTCATTTAGAATCGGGAAGAACTGGGTGTGACAGGAACTGTGTGCTGTCTCAGCAGCCCTATTAGGGGTGTGTTTCCAATCTTTTGCTCACACCTCCCCACCACAAAAATGATTTTATTTTGATCTAAATCAGAGACAAATTTAGAGTTAGCCAGGATGGGAACTCTCACCGTCTATGTAGTGGAAGTTCTGTTTTGGAACACTTGTTAGACATACTTCAACATATAGTAAATGAGTCTTGATTTTGAGATAGTCTTCTTAGAGAAAGTTAATTTTTGGTAATATTAACATGTTAATGAGATCAATTCAGGACATAGTCTCTATTTTCAAGGATAACCTCACTAAAGAATGGTCCTTGAACTAATTTTAATCTCAAACTGGTCTTCCATCAAAGTACGGAGAACTTTAAGATTTCGCTCAATTCTCCCAAAAAATTCACTTTTATGCTCTCACTCAAATCAGAGCAGCTCAGATGTGGGTACAGAAGAATGACGCACAGAGCATTCATGAGGTGTACCCCACGTTCTTAGGACCTGGCCCAGCTAGACCGCTTCATGCTAAACGTGGACTCAGGAAAGAGCTCCAACCCACCAACCCCTTTCATAATTATAATAATTGATTTTGTTTGTAAACCTTGCCATTCCAGCTCAGACATTCCCCCGTATCAAGTTTATGGAAGAAAGAAAGAAATGGAGCTTTCTGAGTTAGAGCTCTTTGTGGCTCCATAAAATGCCCTCTCTTCTCACTGCAGCCAGCTGTGGTGTAGAGAATTCTAATCAGTCTACAGTCCTCAAGGTCTCAGGGTAGGGGTGCTGAGTATCAGGCCTCCACATGCCTCCTGGCAGCATGCCAGCAGCTCCTGGCAATGGGGTCCTACTGTGGGAAAGGAGCATAAAAATGGTAGCTAGCCCATCAGCTGACAGTTGGCAGGGGCCTGGGGGCAGGGGGCTGCTATTTTATGTGTGAAAAGTACAGCAACAGCCTCATCAGAAAGTGTGACTGTCTCAGTGGGCAGAGTAAACAGAGGGGCAAAGGACAACGTCATTGGGAAAGGGAATCAGAATCTTATTCAAGCCCTCTCTCTTGGGCACGCATCACATTTCATTTTGTTCAGTGGAAGCAGTCATCAGTCTAAATCTACAAAAGGACATGTGGCCAAGACAGAATAAGCTTCAGCAAGTCTGCCCTTGCAGAGACCGGAGTTGAATCCCCAGGGCGCGATCCCCAAATGGAAGCAGGGCATGCAAGCCCGCAGTGCCTCCTCCCTGCTGCAGGCAGGCTCCCCAGAAGACAGAAAACCGTGCGCCACCAGCTTCGGTACTCAGCGCTGACTGGTTCCACTGACGTCATGTAAGAAAATCCTGGTTAGGGACATCTTGCCCACCTGATACCAGTTTTTAACCTAACGAAGATCCTGTTATGTGGACTCTGTTGAAACTTGCTTTTTCCCGTTCAGTTGCTCGGTTTTCCATTGGATGGCAGTCTGCCATGTATTTACACAGCTGCTGCTTGTTGGATGTTCGTACCCAGTTTTTCATGATTAGACCCCTGCTGCAGCCACCACCCTTGTCCTTATACCTGTCCCTCTTGTTTAGTTTCTGTAGGACTGACTCTAAGAAGTGGACTTTGCGGGCTCAAAAATGATAAATGTCTCAAACATCAAATAGCCCTTTGTACATGATTATTTTCCTGCAGCCAGCGTATGAGAGGGCTCTTCCTCCCCACCCTGGCTAAAACTGGGCAGTGCATTTTTTTCAATTTGGCCAATCTATAGGCAAAAAAGAAAAAATGCCCTTAGTATTTGACTTTGTGCCTCTTAATTATTAGTGATATTGAAAATTATTTATAATTTTAATTTTTGTAATGCCAAGGGAATTGTTAGCAACAGTTCGGCTGTCAGACCCAGATGGGTCTATCTTGGTGTGTCATCAGTGACTAGGTCAGGAATAGATTTTTTGTTTTAGAGAGAGCTCATTTCCAACGCCATTATAACAGCTTCTTTGAAAAATGGCAGAAATAGAATCTGTCCCCTAAACATCTGTGTTTCTCCTTTTGATTTCCACAGTCAGCTAAGTTCGTAGGCACTTTCTGGAACCAGGTTGGTTACCTGGCAGCGGGTTTCCCCATGCCTGCATTTGGCAGATAATTTTCCCTCACTTAGCCTCCACTCTCTTCTAGAGAATTCTGATGGCCCTTCAAGAGCACACAGGCCTAAGAGGTTTGGATTATCTTTAGTGGTTTTAGTCCTTTGTTACAAAGGATTGTCCAAAAAAGGAGGGGAAGGTGCTGGGGGATCCCCACAGCATAACAGTGAAAGATACGGGCAGTAGATGCAGCCAGCCTTCTGCTTGGAGGTCTGGCCACCTAGGTGTGGCTGACCTGGCCAGGTGTCACCTGGGCCAAACCCCTCTTCCATGTAAACTTAAAATGCTTGGCAGAACCCAAGGCCGGCCCGGTGGCATTTTTCTTTCTGAAAATGAGCTGCTCCTTGGTGGAAATGAGATATCAGCTGGGGCCAGGTAAGATGATATAAACTTAAGGAAAAACCAACTTTGGTTTTCAAAGCAAAAGAAATGAAATGCCATTCTAGCTTTCTGCTTCAAGAGAGGAGGCTAAAGAAAAATAGGTTTTTCCTCTAAAAGAGCAGGGTGGGGAGTTGTCTGGAGGACGAGGAGGGTCCGTGGTGGAGAGGGACAGAGAGATGCTGTATGAAGCAGACGGCTGCTTTAGGATTCCCACGTCCTTGCCCTGTCTTGGCCAGAGCAGGCCCCAGTGAGGGCCCAGGCCCCGCCCGTGTGCATGTCCCCAGCTGGGGCCATCTGTGTGCTGGGCGCCAAGGGCTCCACTAGCCACTGATGGATGCAGTGGAGCCAGCAAGAGGGGAGCATCACGGAGAGGGAAAAATCAGAGCAAAATGCAAAAAAGTGCAGTTCCCCTGTTCTGGGGTGGGCTGGGGTTTTCATCATTCGCAGCCCTCCCCATAGTCCCTCCCGGAGAACATGTATGGCCTCCCGCCCTGGAGAGGAGTCATTCGGCCTACATGGAAGTGATTTATTCCCCCTTGACAGCTGAGACCATCCAGCATTCCAGGCCGGGGGAGTTAATGGACGGCTTAACCCTTGCCCAGCAGCCCTTGGGAGACCAGCACAGAAAAGGCCGGTGGCTTCCCCTGCTGTACTATTGTCATAATCATAGTCCACAGTGGGGCATTAAGGGCACAAAGCAGAGTTGTAATTAACCTCGCCTGATCTGGTCCCTGCTGGTGTCCTGGAAGGGGGAGAGAGGGAAGCCAGAGGGGTTGTGGGGCTGTGGTGCTTATCTTAAAATTGAACTTTCCCCCCGTAAAACGTTTTGAAGCTGGAGCTCTTGACTGGGGTAGGATCTGTGGAAGGGGAGGTCCTTTGTTCTTCTGTGTACTATGCCGGTAGCAGAGGTGGTGAGACAGAAGCCTTCTCTGTCTGGCGAAGGATCAGGCCCCAGGCCCCAGACTGGGCCAAGACATCCTGTCAGCCTCTGCCCCCCATGCTGTGGCTTCCAAATGGTTCTGGGTGGCTTCTCAAGTCCGGTCAAGCACTTGCTGTTTTGGTTCTCCCTCATGACCTGCCAGGTGGCTGACTCCAAACGGGAGCCCCTGAGTCTGCTGCGAGGGGTGGGGGGTCCTCCTCCTCCCGCAGGGCACATGGCAGCACTGGCAGGTCCTGCCTGCTTCAGGACTCTCTGTCTCCTTCCACAGCCTGCTAACATAGGAGCGATTAGTATTCACTTCACTATAGCCCAGAAAGGTTGGGTCATTTACTCTGGGACTTAAGCTAAGTAAGCGGCAGAAGAACATTTACTCAGGTCTGTCTGATATCGGAGACCTGCTTATGATCGCTGGTACCCACCAGATCGAGAGCATAGTGGCTTCTCCCTAGGGACCCCATTGCCTACAGGCTATCCCCCAAAGGCCCATGTACTCTGTGGGGGTAGACAAGCTGTGCCTCAGAATCACCAAGAGGTTGTGTGAATTACAGATCTCTGGGGCCTAGGAATGTGCATTCCCACCAAGTTCCCAGGTGGCCAGCCCAGCAGCTACTCTTTGACAATTCCTGGAGGACACCAGTCCTGCTAAATGGAAGATCTGCCCAAATATCATTTCAGTGCCTGCAGGATAACTAGAGGACTCTACCTGCTAGTGCTCTTTTAACTTGGAAATTTCCTTTTTAAGTGAAAGGGGCAAAGGTTGCCTCACATTTAAGTGTTATATTTCTTAAAAAGTATTCTGAATAGGATAAAAAGGGCACCTGGCTGGTAGGTACGTGGGTGTTAATATCTGTGTTTTTTCTGGATGCCCAAATTTTTCAAAATAATTTTTAATGAAAGGAAGGACTCGGGGTGTAGAGTAAACCTGGAATCCTGAGTCCCAGCTTTATGGGAAAGGATTTCATACCTGGAGCCTCCTCCCAACTCACCAGAAGAGAAATGTTGACATTTCCCAGCGCCATGCTGTCTTAACACACCAGGCCTGTGAGCACATCTCCACGCTCAGCCCTGTGGAATATGCCTCCATTTCAGTTTGCTTCAATGTTGCTGCTCATTTGTCTTTGGAACATTAGGTGTCTGTCTCTCCGCGTCAGTGTTGACCTGTGAAGGCGAGCTCGGAGCCCCCCTTGAACGGTTTTGTCCGAGGCCCGCCGACCGTTCCACCCACCAGCGGGACCTGCTCTTGTCTGAGGAGGCCCCCAGTCTCCTTCCTGGGATAAGACCCTGGGGTCAGCAGCTCCCACCCTCAGACACCCCGCCAGGCTGCCTGGTGCCCTCTGCTAGCGTACTGTGCACTCTTTTACACTCTTGAACTGCTTTATTTCTATATGGAATTGTGCCTGAAGGGTTCTAGTCAGAGGGAGTTGCTTCTCCCTTCTCATCCTTTTAAAAACATAGCTTGAGAAAACAGTAATGGTGATCAGTAATAATTTATTTTTTCTGCTTTCCCAGCTTCTACCATCTCTCCCCAAGATTGTTGCAGTAGCCCCCAGGGGCTCTGCCCTTGCCTCCTTGCATCTCTCCTCAGCACAGTGGCCAGAGGGGAGCCAGTCAAAATGTAGGACACATCATGTCGCTACCCCTGTTACGAACCTTCCAATGGCTTCCATTTTAACTGTAGAGAAAACGGTACAACCCTTATAAAGCCCCATGTGACCTGGCACCTTGTGCCTCCCAGCCAACCCCTCCTCTGACCAATTCTCCTCTCTCTCTGCTAGCTGGCTCCTCATAAGCCACAGTTTCATCCTCGCTGGCCAGCCCACTGCCTCAGGCCCTTTGCACTTGCTGTGTCCTCTGCCTGGGTCACTCTCCCTCCAAATACCACATAGCCCCCTCTCCCACCTCCTTTAGGTCTGCTGGAATGTAACTATCATACAAGCCTTCTCTACAGCTCTGTTTCAAAGAATAATCCTGCCCCCTCTCAGTGCTCCCCGTAACTGCTTCATCCTTCCCTGCGGTCCTTCTCTTCTCTGGTATACTGTGTATTTCACTTGTCTCTTGTATTAGAATGTGAGTTCCCTGAGGGCAGAGATTTTTCTAGGGCCTAGAAGAGTGCCCTGTAGGAGGCACTCCAATATTTCGTAAATGAATGGCAACTGCATTTGTTAAGTGCTTACTATGGGCTGGGCACTGTTCTTCCCTCATTTAATCCTTACCACCACCTTATGAAGCATGTACTGCTCTTACCTTCATTTTACAGAAGAGGAAATAGACACAGAGAGGTACAGTTATTCTACCTATAAATCCACAAAGTGTATAAGAGACTCAAGTCTCAGGTAAAGGTAGCACCTCAGTACTGAGGCTGTTCAGAGAAAACCAGTATGGGTGGGTGGGCATGTGGGGAGAGTGATTGGTTGATCGATCAATTAACTTTAAGGGATTGGTTCATGTGATTATGAGGGCTGGCAAATCCTAAAACTTCAGGGTAGGCAGGCAGTCTGCAGATCCAAGGAAGATTTGATGCAATGTCAAACCCAAAGGCTGTCTGAAGGCAGCATCTCTTCTTTCTTGGGGGATTTTAGTCTTTTCTCTTGAGGCCTTCAACTGCTTGGATGAGGCCCACCCATATCATGGAGGGTCATCTGTTTTACTCAAAGTCTGCTGATTTAAATGTTAATGACATCTTGAAAAAAAACAAAAAACAAAAACCTTGACAGCAACATCTAGTTGGGTGTTTGGACAAGCAGCTGGGCCCCATAGCCTCGCCCAGCTGACACATGTAATTAACCATCACAACCTCTGAAGAGGTGGCATATGTCAGTCGGGCTGATCTTCCTTCCTTCATCTCCAAGGTATGTCCTGCCTTTCCTGGTGGGGTAAACAGCAGTGGGGAGCAGCCCCAAAGAGTCTGTGGTGCTCAGTTCCTTCCAGTGCTAGCAGGAGTCCTCTGGCTTGAAGATCCCACCCTTGAGCCCTAGAGGTTTCCTCCTCATGTGCCGGGCAGCCAAGTGAAAAGCCCCAGCCCACCATCTCTTCTCACCCTCTCCCCCATGACCTTGTCTTCTTGATAATGTGTCCCATGCAAGAGCAGCATGGCCCCTGGTCACACCTAGGCTGTGGGGAGGAGATTGCACCTGCTGAGGGGGCCCACTGCCCTGTCCCAGTGTGAGGTGAGGTGGGCGGGCCTGAGCTCAGGGCTGCCAACGCCTGTGGGCACTGCTCCCTGGGACAGAAGGCTCGGGGAGATGGGCTGTGGGGTGAGGAACCTGTGGCTCCAATCCAGTTGCACCAGTTTCCAGCCTCACCACCAGGCAAGCCACTTGATGTCTCTGGGCCTCAGCTCCCAAATCTGTAATGACAGAGATGATAATGCCGACCCTGGCCTGTTTTCATGAGCATTAAATGGCTCTACTTGCCTTATTGCCATCTCTTCAAAGCCAGTTCCATGAAGGCTCTGTCAAATGTAGGCCGATTCTGTGTAGGTCCAGAGAAACTGCTATAGGTCCACACCAACCTCAAATGCCGGAGGAAGGACCAGGTGGAATGGGCCTCGTCCTGAGCCAGCGGGGGCAGTTTGTGCACTGCTGGTACAGTTCAGAACCCTCCTGAGAGCCATGGCCTTAGCCCTCCTGGGATGTCAGTGGTCTGGGTCCCACAGAAACCATGGGCCACCACTTCCCCAGGGTCCAGCCCTAGGTGCTCCGCCTCTCTGCGGCCCCTGCCTGGTCACCACTCAGCATGGGCAGCCAGGGTCCCTTGGCCCAGCCGGAGTCCCTGTGGTGGGCATAATCAGCCTCGATGTGGGGGGACGGCTGTGCAGGCCTGAGGCAGCCTGCTCCCAGAGCTGTCACGGCACCATTACACACGCCTATGGTTTTCACAGTACAGAGCACCTCCTTCACTACCTCGCCTTCCTGTTCCTGCCCTGCAGGGACTGCTGTCAGCAGTCTGGGACGTGTGTGTGCACCAGTTAGTATGTGTATATACACATGCACGTGTGCACAGGTGTTCATCATGCCGTAGGAATTTTGTTCTTCAACTTACTTTGTTCCACTAATACATCCCTTTTTTTAAGTTCTGTCCACATGTACACAGATTTTTCTTATATATCCTATTTCCTCACTCAAAAGATCTCTACCATTATTGTAATTCTACTGTAACGTCCACATATTATCCCTCTTTTTGATGTATACTATAATCTGCTAACCCCTGTATTCCATGGAGCATCTTTGTGTGGATCTTCTTGCTTCTGTGGAATTATTTCTTTAGATTTATTTCTATGGTCCACACGTTTTGGGGTGTATACCTTTCTGTTACTCTTCATGCTTATTTCTTTCCTGAAAGGTGCTATCAGTTTACTATGCCATGAAGATTTTTTTTTTGATTACCATCTAAATACCACTGGAGAGCTGGGGGGTGGAAAAGGGTGAAGAGAAAGACCTGCTCACAGTGACCTGGAAGTGTGACGGGTTTTCTTTGCCTCACAGCACAACTAGCTCCACAGCCAGTAGCTGCGATACCGAGTTTACTAAAGAAGATGAACAAAGGCTGAAGGATTACATCCAGCAGCTCAGGAACGACAGGGCTGCGGTCAAGCTGACCATGCTGGAGCTGGAGAGCATCCACATCGACCCGCTCAGCTACGATGTCAAGCCCCGCGGAGACAGCCAGCGGCTGGACCTCGAAAACGCTGTGCTGATGCAGGAGCTCATGGCCATGAAGGTATCCGTGTGGTGGGCCTGTGTGAGCCCTGTTCCCATTCCCTCAGCCTCATCTGTGGTTTTAGGATGTCTGGGGTCACCTGGGATGGACGTGTTCCTGGAGTGGTGACTGAACCCTGAGGAATGCCTTGGGGTGTCCGAGCCCAGCTTAGGAAACCTCGTTCTCCGAGAGGGGCCAGATCACACCCCATAGGCTGAAGCAGCCTCGGTACATGTGAAAGCACCCTGAGCTCCAGAAGCCTACAGGTGCCTCTCGGGTTGGTGATGTCAGCGTGGGGTTGGGGAGAGCAGGGAGAGGCCAAGTGCAGAGCTGGAGCAAGCGCCCTGGTTTCCCGACACCTGTCCCGCGGGGCCGTGCGGAGCCCGCTTGGATTTCATGCCTTCCAGTGTGCTGTTCGGGTGAGCATCTCCTGGTGGGATCTGGGGCTGGTTGCGGGCTGCCTGCGTTGCCTACCTGCACCTCTAGAGCAGGGGAAGCTTCTCGGGAAGCTGGTGCCCATCGCTGGCAAGTGGTGAAACTACCCTCCTTCCAGCGGGATACTATGTACATGATTCTGCCCAACAGCACCAAGCACTAGGCCCTAATCTATCACTTCCTTTCTCAGAAGAACACTGTGGTGTGATAGAGACTGGATCTGGTATTTGTTCCCCCTCCCTGGCCACAGCTTCAAAAAGCCTTGGAATTTCCTGGTGGCAGGAGTGTCTTTGGTGTGCGAGATCTCTTCAGGGTGGGGCTGTTCCCCAAAAGGACCGAGCGTGTGACCCAAGGTCCTTCCCCCGCAGCCCGCGGCCTCCGGGAGGGGGGAGTGCTGCAGGCCGGGCTCCAGCGTGTGGCCGGTGAGGTGGTCATGCCTGTGTCTCGCTCTCCAGTGAGAACGCCAGACACTGAAGGTCAGGGAAGCCTCTGGCTCGTGAACACGTCGATGTGTCGGTAGAGCGATATCCTCTGACTCCGGGGAGAGGGCAAGGGTCAGCATTCAGGACTCTTCCACACACACCCTATTTATAATAAAATGGTTTGCCTGAGTCCTGCAAGTTTTCCTAGTGTTACTGATCGTGGGGCTGTGGAAACCTTGAATTTGTAGGCAGTTGGTGAGAAGTACAGCTGGCCTGGGGACCCCCCACCCCCAAGACTTGTGGCTGGTATTTGGAATAGGGCCATCTGTGGAGTCTGTGAGAACTGTAGGATGTTTGTGTCAAGAGTCGTGTTTTATGTGTACACTCAGTTGCAGTGGGAAGAGAATAACCACTCACCGAGCGTGGTCCAGCACTGCTGTAACCTGCCCTTCGCACACCAAAAGCAGAGGTGGGAACTTTCAGGGGCTGTTCCCACAGGTCGGGGTCTGCACAGGACTCTGCTGCCAGGCCTGTGGATGTGGAAGTCGGGCGGGGAGCCTTGTTCCCAAGCCTGCCTTCCAAACACCAGCCTCCTGTGTGCAAAGGCCCTGTTTGCACAGCCACGAATTCTGTAGTGTCACTAACTCCCAGGAGTTGAGATGGTCAGGGAGGTAGTCTGGGGGCGGAAGCCAGGTTACCATCAGGTATGTTAGGCCAGGGGGGTCACTGTGGTCCTGAGTTAATAGCTCATGACTGGTCTCTCCTGTTGGGACTAGCACTGTCCTCAAAAGAAAGAGCAGGCCCCCCTCTAGTTACCCTGTCTGAAGAGGCGAGAGGAGCTGTCGGCAGCCATCAGCCCAACACACAGGGGCGACAGGCTTGGTATGTCCCCACCCTCAGCAGCTCTGGAGCTGGAGTTCAGGTGTAGCCTGGGGAGTCGTCTGGAAGTGTTGGCTGACTCTCCTCTTATTGGCCCTGAGTCAGGCATTGCGTCCGCAGTCAAAGTGCCTTCTTCCCCAGTCAGGAGCCCTCTTTGTGGAGACACCCTACGGCACAAGCTATGAAGCCACCCTTCTGTTAATTATTCCAAACTCCACATTGCCTTGGGCCAAAGACTAGATTTCCTTTTTATATTCAGGCCAATATGTTGTGTGATAAATTCAGTGTTATTCTGGCCAGGAAAGACATTTTTGGTAGAGTAAAATCTCTAATATCTCCTTTGTGATTTGAAAATAAATGTGTACACATCACAGAAATGTTCTAAAAGAGTAGAAATGATCAAAAGCCAGGAGAGAAATAACCCACAGGATCATGATCCAGGGGCAGCCGTTGCTGGCATTCTGGCTTGATTCCCTTCCTGCGGGTTCCTGACGGATAAACATGAGAGCCACCTCCCCTCCCTGTGTGTCCCTAGCGGTGTGTTCACGGGTGTGTGCCCACCCCGCCACATCCCCTAGCAGCAGGTAACGTTGGATTTCACTGTTTTGTTCTAGGATACAACTGCTGAGAAACTCAAGTTTTCTGGTTGTTTTTTCCACTTCTGGTACATGATCTTTAGGAAATACCCTTTCATTTCTAGGTGACTTGTTTCCTTTTGAAATCAACTGTTCTTTTTTGAATAGCCTAACCTTTTAGGATTAAAACAATTTCATCTTCCTCTTCCTTTATCTCTTTGTTTTAAATATTTGTTTCCTAGTTTTCAATTTGTTATGTCTGGTTCTCATAAATGATGGTTCTACCTCCCCATGATTTGTATCCATTTTCTCTTTGTGTGCGTGCTGGGTGGAGAACATGCACACTTGCTCATCTTCAGTGGAGTTGGCATCTTCCATGGTGTCCCATGGGTCCTACAGGGTGCTTAGATCTGTTGGGACGTCTGGGTTTCAAAGCTTTAGGACTAGTTTTTGTTACTCTCTTGGGCTAGGATTCCTGTTCTGCATCTACGTGTGACACAAGTTTCTGGTTCTGATTCTCAAAAGAGTCTTTTCTTTCTTCTCCCACCCAAACTCTAAATGATGACAAGTTTCCTTGCCGCATTTCCAGAAAGAAAGTCTTCTAGTCTGTTACTGTAGGCAGTGCTTTGAAGTCCTGGCTCATGTAGGGGTCTCGGTTCTGGCTCTCAGCCCTGCCCTTGCACAAGCGCTAAAAGCCCAGGTCCTAGGGCCTCTGCCGTGGTCTGCTGCCTCCGTGGTCGCCTAGCCTTTCCTCTTGGGTGGAGGTCCTTCTTTGGGCACCTGTGGAGTCATCTTTCCTTCTTTCAAACTTGCATTTATATGTTTGTTCTGGGTGTGACTATCCACATTAGCTCAGTATGGAGTGCTGCCAGAACCTTCAAATCCTGCTTCTAAAGACAAAAGATGAGACGGCTTCAGTGTATGGAAACACCTTTCATTCTGGTTTTATGTCTCATGTTTAGGAAAGGTTTGGCATCTTTTGAATAGTGCAAAAAACCACCACCACTGTGCACATTCCTTCTCCAGGTCTGACACCCCAGCCTTGGGTATTAAAGACCTTAGTGGGGCCCCTCTAGATATCTCCCCACATTGGAGGGTGCAAACATCGACACCTCAGGTCTGGCTTATCCAGGAGGGCACACCAGGCCTGTGACGCAGAGAAGGGTCCCTTGAGGGATGAACAGAATCAGTGACTTTTGTGAATCTTTCTCAAGGCAGTGACTCAGCATTATGAACAATCGTTGTTAAGTGAGACACCAGATAGCTTGGACTGGCTGTGGTCTTGCGGTGGCAGAACCACCCTCCAGCAGGGGTGAGGGATGAGCGTCATGCGCGGGTTCAGCTTGAAAGCTCAGTGGGCTCTGGGCCAGATGCACTGGGCTCAAACTCTGACTCCACAATTTATCTGATAATTGTGGGCAGGTGGATTTCTCAGTTTCCTGACCATAAATGGAGATACTCATAATACCGACCCCAAGTTGGGAGGATTAAATGAGTTCTGTGTCAACATTTAAAACAGTGTTACATGCTCCATAAGTGCTGGTGGTTATCAATGTTAATGTAGCTCGTGATCCCAGGACGGCTTTGTCCCACTTTGGAGTCACTTCTTACTTTCCACAAAAACTCTAATCTGAGTTCTCAGATGCACTGAGAGGTTACCTGATGAGTAGTCACTTGTGAAGGACTCGTTTCTATTGATCTGTGTGGGCTCCTGAAAAGACGAGAGCTGGGGGCGATCCTGTTGCTGCGGGGACCCCCGTCTGCCCAGCCCACCTGTGGGCGGGTGGCTGACCATGTGCACTGGTGCCATGGCACACGGCACAGGAAACTGGAACTGGAAAGGATCCATCCAGACCCAGCCGTGCGTGGATGACCCTGCCTTCCAACCTCTTTGACTGATGAAGCTTAGCCTGTGAGTGCTGCAAAACGGGTTTCCAGCAAGACAGGTGTGCCCCACGGGGGCTGGGGGTGGAACTGGAGTTGTTAGGGTTCCCTTTTTGTCAACCAGTCTGTTTACCTGTACCTTCTACCATTACCTCAGTTCTGGTCCATTGAGTGACAAAGCACAGGGCTTCGTCCACATGTCAGTCCTGCAGTGTGTGGAGGCAGTGTCCTGTCTCCTCCCCGGCGGTGGGTGACGGCTGTACCGCGGGCCCGTGGTCACAGCCACAGGGCCCTTCTCGCCCGCCTGCCCCCCCACCAGGCCCTGCCGTCCCACCGCAGGTGCCTCCTGTGCTCTGTGCTTCATAGGAGGAGATGGCTGAGCTGAAGGCCCAGCTCTACCTGCTGGAGAAGGAGAAGAAGGCCCTGGAGCTGAAGCTGAGTACACGGGAGGCCCAGGAGCAGGCCTACCTGGTGCACATCGAGCACCTGAAGTCCGAGGTAGAGGAGCAGCAGGAGCAGCGCGTGCGGTCCCTCGGCTCCACCGGCAGTGGTGGCAAAGACAAGCCCAGCAAGGTAGGACGGGGTCGCAGGGGCCCAGGGCGCGGCTGCCTCCCTGCCCAGTCACCACCACCGCGCATCCCCGCCCTTTGCCTAGTTCCTTATTTGCATAGAAACTACAGGCCATTCTAGATAGCTCAAAGGCAGCATTGTTAGCGCAAAGAAACCAAATCCACATTAAAGAAAAAAACAACTCCGTCTATGTAGTAGTTGTGGCATTTCCATGCAGTTCCGCGGGCTGAGGGGTGACCTGTGCAGTTGTTGCCCGGTAGACTGGCATTGGTCCTGCCTCCTTTTCTGTCCTGTTCCGTCTGCTGGCCACCTGCCTTCGTCATCTCTTTCGGTTCTCTCAGCTTGGAGGGAGGGGTAGTTAGCCCCTGTCTGGGAGACGGTGTGGCTCACAGAAGGGAGGGGTCTCACAGCTAAAGAGGGGCAGAGTTGGGGTTTCACCCACATGTGCCGGCAGGCCCTCCCGCCTCGTCTGTGCTGGCGGTCTGCTGTCGGTGAGGTGGGAAGCAGGAAGCAGCCTGGGCAGTGGAGGAGGAGGGCAAGCCAGGACTGCCCAGAGGCTGCCACAGAGAGTGGGCTGCCAGGGGCGAGGGCACATTCTTGAACATTCACACTCCCATTAACTCAAAAGCCTTTTTCTGCAGAATCCAAGCTCATTATTATCTCTACCTCAAAATTATTCCAAATTCTTCATTGGAGAAGAAAATACTCTGGACCTTAAAGAATTATGTCCCTCGTGCCCAGGTCCTGACATGCTGTTCATCATATTTTCCATTCCAAATAAATGCTAATTTCTCCTGACCCCATTTTGTTTCCAGCCCAGGACTTGTGGGCATGCATTGACCTGTTGGCCAAATGACTGGCTTCTCACAATGCAAAGGCAGGGATGTCTCCAGGAGACTTGTCTGCCTGGAAGCAAGCACCTTGCTGATTCCATGTGGCAGTGAGCAGTGCTCCTTGACAGCTAAGAACTTTGAGGCTGCCTCATGAAGGGTCACAGCTGCACTTTGCCCACCTCCTGCTGACGAGCCGAGGGAGTCCTCGGCTGTGGAGTCAGGTGGGCCAGCTCTCCCTAGACCCCTGCTGCTTTTCAGTCATCCTCTCATTTGATAGATGTGATGTGGTCCTGGCAGGGTGCTGCAGAATGTTCTAGGAGTTTCCATTCCAGCAAGGGACACTGATGGGCAGTGATCACAACACAGTGACACAATGTCCCGAGCGCAAGGATCTACTCCTACTCTAGTGGGAGGCCACGGCTGAATGCACCTCCAGATGTGGAGATCGGGGACAGGTTTCCTGCAGAGACCCCATGGAGAGCAGGGACCAGGCTGATGAAGAGGGCCAGGGCAGAGAAGAAGGGGCACTCTGGGCCCGTGGAAGGGCATGGGCAAAGACCGTGCAGGAAGAGGAATTGGCATGCTGGCCGGAGAGGCTGGCTCTAGGGGCTGTGCTGTCCCCTAGACGGTGATGAATGGCTGAGGGGCTGGCAGCAGGGGATGAGGTGAGCCATCTGCCTAGGGCGTGGAGGCATCAGGGCAGGTGGCAGTGGCCTGTGTGGTTCATCTGGTACCTGGGGCTCAGGAAGATGGGGTTTTCTCTCCCATGCCAATGCCGTAAACATCTTCATACAGCCTTTTGATTCTGTTGGCGGTCACTCTGGGACAGAGTGCCAGTGTGTGTTCTTAGGGTGGTGGAAATGGACTTGGTGGGCTCTTCCTAGAAGGCCCATTAACTGAGCCTTTTCCCTCTAGTTCTTGGTGTTTATTTTGACTGGGGAAGCCACTGTGTTTTGTGGAATGGCTTCAAAGTACAGAAAACTCTGATGGAAAAGGCTAGATGATTTTTTTTTTAATTTTTTACATTAGAGTAAGAAGCTTTATAAGAGTACCTTGTGCTGCTCAGGTAATGAAATTAGAGTAAGCTGATTACTTGTCTATCAAATATTAGATCCATTTACTACTTCAATGAAGTCTCCCTTCTGGTTATTCATTTGGTCTTATTTGTGGGTATAAGAGGCAAGCAGTGTAGTGCAGGGGTCAGTAACCTGCACAAAGCTTGACAGTCAATATTTCAGGGTATCAGGCCACACGGACACTACTGGCACTGCTGAACTTTTCCGTGCAGAATGGTGCAGAAGCAGAGCAGTGCGGGCATGGATGGGCAGGCTCTGTTATTTACAGACACTGAAATCTGAATTTCCTATTGTTTCTACACATCACAAAGCATTCTTTCCATTTTTCTTTCATGATTTTTTAAATAGAAAAGCAATTCTTTGCCGGTGAGCCTTATAAAAACAGGTGGCAGGCCACACTGGTGTTTAAGAAACCCAGTGCTGCTCCCTAGGGTGAGTGTCATGCCTGTTTTAAAACTTAAGCCACCCAGCCGGGCCCCACACCTTATCCCAGGTGCATTAGGGCTTGCAGTTCTGGTCTTGGTGCAGCAGGTATTACCAGAGGCATTCAGTGAGGGGTGCGGGTTGAGATGACGCTGGAGTCTTACGAAATGTTAACTTGACACGGGAGTTGCTAGACAAAAAGAAGGTGCTGGAATTGCACCACAGTCCCTGGGCTGGTGGATGTGGCCTGAGTCTACAGGACGTCTGGGTGGAGAGGGGCATGAGGGAGCAGAGCGTGGGAGGCACGGCCGAGAGAAGGGTGGTCGGCTGCCCCAGCGGAACCCAGGTGGGGTGCCTGGCTGCATCAGAGGGGCCCAGGGAGACCCTCTGCCCTCCTGTCTTCTGGACTTCTAGCTCTGGGTTCATATTTCTCTGTGGTTCTCATCCCATCACCATATAACCTTCTGTTTACATTCTGTCTCCTGCAGAATGTAAGCTTTTTATTCTCAAGCCTGGCAGGTAGTAGATGCTTAGTAAATGTCTGCTGAGCAGATTGCCAGGTGAGTGCCTTTCCCCAGCCACTTTATTTGACAGCATAGCGGCTACCCTCCCTGTGTGCACAGAAAGAAGAATGCTCCAACACGTATGATGGTTGCTTTCTGAACAGTCTTAGTTTAGGACTTAGGTGCTCTGGCTGTTAGGTCTCTTCATCTGTCAAGTGAGAGGATTTGGTTCAGATGGTGTCAGAGTCCCATGCCATGACTTCTATGTCCCCCTTTCTCCTGGGTCTTTGAGATGATTGTGCTGAACCCAGTAAAGCTCCTTAAATCTAGAGGAGACTGGTCTTCTCCGAGGAGAACGGGGTGGAGGTGCAAGGACACTCACGTGTATTGCCCACGTGTCTGTCATGAATTCTGGGAGGCTTACCCCAGCAGTGAGGAGCGCTGGTCTTCAGGCAGCCCGCCTGGGTGTGACTCCTGGCTCCACCGCATCCTAGCTGGTGATGTGAAGCAGTGTAACCTCTGTGCCTCAGTTTTCTCTTGGTAAATGGGCATAATAGCATCTGCCTCGGAGGGTCTCCACAGTGATTAAATGACAGAACGCGTGTTCTGACTAGTGCCTGACTTCCGGTGGGCGCCCGGAGCACCTGGGGGTCATTATCACCCCCTGGCCAGCCTAGGCAGAGCTGCCTTTGCTATCCTGGCCGCCTCCCAGGCTCTGCCACAGAGCAGTGACGCACCCCCAAGGTGCTCTCAGGCTTGGCCCCGCATCTGACAGGCATGTGTTTGCTGTTCTCAGGAGTGTGCCGACACTGCCTCCCCAGCCCTGACACTGTCCGAACTGAGGACGACCTGCAGCGACAGCGAGCTGGCTGCAGAGTTCGCCAATGCCATCCGTCGGTAAGCACCCTTCGCACAACGCCGAAGAGCGGTCTGTTCCCAGAGGGATGGCTCCGTTCTAAGTCCTATTGGCTGCTCATATCAGTTCTTCGTGGATCATGACAGGCCTGCCCTGGAAGCAGGAGGCGCTGAGATGTCCTATGTTTGTCCGGGCATGGGTCAGTCTTGTTAGTGCCAGGCCTTTCAGAAGGGCAGGGGCATGGGAGGGTGTACAGGCAGTCGGTTCACCTGCACATGGGAAATGTCTCCCTGCTTTCTGTGTTGCTGCGTTGGCTAGAACCTCAGGACAGTGTGAAGTGGCGACAAGCAGGCATCTTTACCTTGTTTACAACCTCAGTGGGAATGCTTCCCTCAGCATCACTGGCTCTTTCCAAGCAGAAGGCCTGGCATTTTCCCTGTGGTGTCTCAGTGTACCTCCCCCTCCTTCCTGTCCTGCAAGGAGAAACATGCTGAGTGGTCCACATCTGTCTTCCATTTCTCAACTTTTCATAGCCTTGCTGTGCTTTGCCTCCTGTTCCCGAGCAGCACTGCCCAGCAGACAGACACGTAAAGGGGACCATACCCGCAATTTCACCTTCTCTAGTAGCCATATGAAAAAGTAAAAAGGAACAGTAGAGTCCAGTTTAGCAGCATTTTATTTAACCCAGTGTATCCAGAATATCATTTCATCATGTAATCAATATCTTTAAAAAGACAGATTATCTTTTTTTTTTTTTTTGGTACCATGTTTTCAAAATCTGATGCATATTTTACACCTATAGCATGTCTCAAATTTGAACCAGCCAACGTTTCAAGTGCTCAGTGGCTCACGTGGCCGTGGCTGCTCAGGTGGAGGGGGCAGTTCCGGGGAGGTTCCTCAGCTCACTCGCCTGTTCTTCAGCTCTGTCCACCGCAGTCGGCTTGTATGTTGAGACTTCTGGTGAGGAGATCCATCATCTTTTTTTAGTGATATGGTATCTTCTTGCGTCTCTCTGAGGATGTTTATTATATGTATTCTAATGGGTATTTTGTCTGCTATATTAAGTGTTTTCTCACATATAAACTCTTTTTAGAGTCGAGTTTTGTGGCTCAGTCTTGGCTTTGGCTCATGAGCTCACCTCCCGGGCTCCCTGTTCCTTCTGCCTGGCAAGGCTCTCCGGGCTGTGCCGCTGGCCAGGGCCACTGGTCCCTCCTGTTCAGGCAGCCGGCGCCTCTGCCTGGGGCACTTCCGACTCCCCCTCCTCCCTTTGCGGCGACCTTCCTCCGCGTGCATTTTGAGTCGTGGTCCCCTCTCTACGATGGCTCATAGTTTCTGGCATTCAAAGAGTGCACCTTGCTTTCTAACATGCTTGAGAACTTAAAAAAAAAAACGTTTCCCTCATTTGGGGGATTCAGGGTGGAAGGTGAAAGCTGCAGCATATGCTGGGTCTGCTGTCACAGACCCGCCAGGGACGCCTGTTGTGTGACGCAGCCTCCATGCTAAGGGTGGACTGAGCGCTGCCTTGAGGGGACTTCACTGCCCTCCTGATTTACTCACCGGCACTTTTCGTCTCTCCTTCCAAGTTGTGATAGCTCTGTTTTTACAGTACCAGCACCTCTGGCCACGAGGGTAAGTTGTAATTGCTTTGCTTGAGGTAGGAAGAGAGAAGCTGCGGGAAAATGCCGTCAACAGATCCTAATGACCCGACTGAGCCAGAAACGGGATGCAAATGCATTCCCTGGTCCACCCGGGAGGCATTTGGATATGCTGTCTGTAAGCTAGGCCCCTAAAGTTCTCTGATTCCCCAAACCTCAGGGGCCCTCACTGGTACAAGTAGGATGCAGGTTCTGCTGAGTAAACACAAAGAGACTCCATTTGTTCTGTCAGGCACAGCGCATTTCCAATACCCAGCCTTAAGCTGGTGAGCACGGATTTCTGAGCAAGACCCAGATATACAGAGCCAAGGAAGAAACTACAGTACAATGGAAAATAACATAATTATACTGTAAATATAGTTTCGGAACTGGAAGAATCATTTCATGAGGGTCTATAATACACCTGTGGGCTGAGGTTTGGGGATAGTTTTACTTTTAAAAATCAAGTGGAAAGACACCTTCTTTGAGGATATTGAATCACTGCCAAGCTGGTGGTTGAAGTTAGTTCAGGGAATCTGCCCTGCATTTTCAGAAATATTCCTCCCTTGAAAAAGGATGGTTCCAGACACCACAGTTGTGGGTCCAGGCATCCAGACTGAAAGGAGCAGAGGTGGAGGGGGCTGGGGAAGGGGCTAATAAGCAGCGGTCTTCCTTGAAAACCACTAGGGTGCCGCCTTGTGACATTCTGGTCCTGGTTCTAGGTTCCTGCCCCGCCCCAGCCTAGCTTCCCTGAGGCCGAGCCAGGCCTCAGCCCTGCCTGGGCTCTCGCTGCCCAGCGCTGCTCTCTCAGCCTGTTTCCTCCCAACCTTCCTGGGTTTGGAACAAAACCAGGACTCTGTGCAATCGTGCATTTACTATGTAACTCCCATCTGGTCTGATCTCATTCCCTCCACTTCTATGAACATCCATTGCATTTTATTGGCTCCGGTGTTGCCATAAAACCCCATCTGGATGACCAGGTTTCCAGCCTTGCACACGAAGAGTTTTCTTGTCAGGGTACCTTGTTTTTACTGCTGTCCACACAAACTGTGTGCTACAAAGCCCTCTCCATCTCAGATCTTTCTTGCTCTTGGTCCTAGTAAAATTTAACTGAGGGACCTTTCCACCAAAGAAATGAACTATAAAAATGCAGTTGAGGAGAGGGAATTTGCAGACATGACTCTTCTTTGCACTTGTGTAGCCTGCCCTTGGGACCTGAGCAGAGCTGAGAGGAACAGACGATTTCATCTCCATCAAGTTCTTGGGAACCAGTGAAGAGCGGGTGTTGCTCACCATATGATGGGGTGGGGTGCTGGCACAGCAAGGCTGAGCGGTTTCCAAGGTCACACAGCAAGGCAGTGGGAAGCCTTGTGCCTCTGCCTTCTCTGAGGATCCCTGTGTGCCAGCAGGGGTGTGCTTACCGATGAGCGTGAGCTGAGTCTGCCTGTGTGGGCTGTACTTTGCCCTGAGGACTGTGCCCACCGCAGTGTGCATGGGCTGGACAAATGGGGAACTGTGCACTCCTGGTACACGACTGTGCATCTGTCTATCACATTCATGGGGCAGAGGAAGTACTGGAGGTAGGGGGAAAACTTCAAGTGCCCTCAGGTGATGTTGGTTAAAAGACAAGGATGCTGTGCTCCTCAGTGCTGGGGGACAGGAATGGTCAGGACAGGGGCTGGTGACGTGGTGAGAAGCAGTGCACAGTGCCATCTCAGATGACTGCACACCCACCTGCTGCTGGGACTTCAAGCAGGGCACGACCTCGCTCTGACACCCTCACCGGCAGAGGTCAGCTGCCCTGTTCCCACAGGAGGCTGTGGTAGTCACAGGCCCATGTAGTCACAGGCCCGCCAGGGCCTTGCTGAGCCCATCAGAAAACCGGGATCTGCCACCTGTGTGCAGGTGTAAAATGCTAAGTAAAGGCAATCAACAAATTGCAGTGGCCACTATGTCCAGGTACAAGATATCCCCAACTCATCCAGCAGAAGAGGAGCATGAAGACTTCCTATAATCTCTCTGATGAGTAAGAAGCAAGCTGCTGCAATTTGGGGAGGGCTACACGTCAGACCCCTGTATGGGGACATCCGGGGATAGGTGGGCCCCGTCTGGTCAGTGTGGTCACAGGAGACCAGATCTGGAGGACCAGGATGTGCCCTTTGGAAAGGGGAGCTGGCCCGTGCGGGAAGGGGCAGCACAGGAGAGAGATGGAGTGGGAATCCCCCCAACCCCAGGCCCATGGGCCTCCACCACTGTGCCAATCATGTGACGGTAAGAACTTGGCAACAGACCTTGACACGTCTAGCAGCAGGATGACACAAAAGCCAAGAAAAACATTTCAGAGTAAGGAGGCCAACCGTTTCAGACTGGAGTAGGTTGAGGAGGGAGGCAGGGAGAGAAGACAGCTGGCTGGAGAAGTGGTGCTGTGCTTGAGCAGAACCATCAGGAACCCGTCCTAGGAACAGAAACATCTCTGTGCTCCTGAGAGAGACCCAGTAAAGGGGCAGTCTGTCAGGGTCACCAAGAGCTTTGTAAGATGCAAATCTGATGCTTACCCCTTATTAGTGTGCTATTGTGTAACAAATTACACAAGCTTAGTGGGTCAAACGACACCCACTTATTAGCTCAGTTTCTGTGGGGCAGAAATGTGGGCACAGCATGACAGCCTTTTCTGCCTAGGGTCTTACAAGGCCACAATTAAAATGTCATCCAGGGCTGTGTTTTCATCTGGAGACTCTGGGGAAGACTGTGCTTCCAAGTGCGTTCTGCCTGTTGGCAGAAGTCAGCTGCTTGTGGTAGTAAGGCTGACATCCCACCTGCCTGCTGGCTGTTGACCACTGGTAGCTCAGCTGCTAGAGGCCACTCAGATGCCTTCAGCACAACCTCTCCCTCCTCAGAGCCAGCAACAAGAACCTCCTCCTCAAATCCCTTTCCTGCTTCAAATCTCTTTCCAGGAAGAGCACATTCCCTTTCAAGGGCTCACCTTAATTAGGTCAGGTCTTCCCTGGAAAAATCTTATCTTCAGGTCAGCTGCTTAGGCCTTAATTCCATCTGCAGAACTCCCTCCCAGCAGCACGTGGATGAGTGACTGAATAACCGGGAAAGGGCGTGTGTATACTGAGGGGCTCAAATCTTGGGGGCCATTGTGGGATGCTGCCGGGCACACCTCATGGCTTAAAACCTCCCAGTGACTCCCAGCTGTCTTTGTCCGAACTCCTCAGCGTGCGTGCGATCTCACCCCTGCCAGCCTCTCCGCCTCGCCTCCCGTCACATGCCCCTCCCACCGTGAGCCGCACCGACCACTAGCTGTCTTTGCTGCCTCTGGGCCTCCACTCCTGCTGCCACTTCTGGCCCCACACCACCTAACCCCACGCCGCAAGCACTCACATGGCTGAGCCTCTACTCAA